GTGTAGGCACTGAGAGCTGTTGCTGCTGGAGCTTTGATTTCATAATAAGCTGTTGTCTGTTTTGTGGAACGGAGCAGCGGAGAAGCTCTCGGAGAGGATAGAGGAGCATTGTGTGCAGCTCGGCAGAGGAGGCCTGCTGAGAAACATCCTCCAGGCCCTTCTGTCTGCCTCCTGTGTACATTTCTGTATGTCCTGCATTTTGCAATCATTTTGGTAAAAATCAAATCAGTTCATTTGTCACATTGACTCTCAGCTATGAAAAACAAAACCTTTTAATTTGGGTTAATTAGTGAGCTTTAGAGCTGCTGCTTGGTAAGTTTTGTTATCTCCATGACCAGCTGTTTTCCAGTCCTTAGATGACTTTATTCATCATATTGTCRTCATTTTATTCATTTATGTCTAAATAATAAACATACATACTTTTGAAATATTATGTTAGATTAAAAGCTAAATACTATTTAGTTTTATCATAACAGAATCTCAATAACAAAGGAGCAAATTTTAGTACGGCTAAGACTGAAAACCCCATCTAATATTTTTAAGTATTTTTTTGTACAAGTTCAAATAGGCTGAAATCTTCGTGACACATAAGAACATCCACAATAACATTTCAAAGTAGAGCGTACAAGTGGAAGAAAGGAGTGCTGGTAACATTTTATTTTTGTGTGGAAATAAAATTATATATCCCGATTAAAAATAACACAAACCTTTTTTTTTACATTGGTGAAAAAAACTGCCTTTAACATCCATCTCTGGATAAAATGAGACAGATGCAGAAAACCCAGYAAAACTTCTTTATTGCTGTTTTGATTTCTGGAGCACAAAATGACATTGACTCATCGTTGTTTTGGAAAAGCTCAAACTCATCATAAACTGAGCAGTTAAAAAACTTCTGTTTGGAAAATATGTTTTACATCCTTTAAAAAACAAAACAAAACAAAACATATAGTGTGTGGACAGGAGGTGCAAACAGAGCAGTTAATGTGTGGCTGGTGCCTCAACATCTGATCAAGATTTTTTTCTCAGATTTATTATTGCAATTGAGACAACTCATTTGTTGGTATGAAAGTTTTAATGAATTTAATAAATCATCTGATGTACAGTTTCAATTAATTAGCTACTGGCGTCGACCCAATTCAAGATGGCCGTCAAAGACAACCTAAGGAAACACACATTTTTWAAATAATTTTGTCAATTTCATAGATATTAAACACAGAAATGCCTGTAGCTCTGTTAAGTTTGGATGTGAAGATAGCAGAGTGAGTCGTGCATTAGATCTTGTAAAGATTTAACCAAAACAACAACTCCATCATTTCTCACTATCAAATGATCTCAGTCTAAAACTCTGAAAAGTGGCAGGTGATGTGCGTAACTTTAATACAGTTGTGCTGTTGTGTTGTTGCTGTTGACGTTAATCCAGTCCACCTAGTGGACTAGCATCAGTATTTCAGTTTGGATTTTTATTATGAACAAAGAAAACATACAGTATTTAGAGTAGGCAGGCCTTTGAAATGTTGCTGAGCTCAGATTTCTGCTGTCCTTTACCTCATCCAACTCTCTGTTCTGTTTGTTGTTGTTAAAATATTTTGGTTTTAATTTCAAACTGAAAATTTATTTTCATATTCTACTGAGTTTAAAACACAAAGTTAAATGCTAAGATGCATTGTCAATTATATTGATGAGTCTGAATGTTATATCAAGCTGTTTATCCTTTGGGTTTTAACAAAATAATTTTTTCTAAACTGTTTTCCATGAAGTAAAAAAAACACAATCCCTTAAATGTCATCCCTTAATTCACCGGTACATGACTAACCAATCTGAGCTCCGCTTTGTGCTCTACTTTAAACCCCTAATGTGGAATTTGACCAGATTTTTTACATTTTAGCATTGAACGGCTTTTAAAACCATTTACCGCTCAGATGAGTCATTAAAATTTATTTGGACTTTTATTTTGCCCGCTGCTAATAAAAGGCAGAGAAGAATTCCCAGTGACAGAAGRGTAAAAAATAAATCACCATATTTCTCACACTGTCCTCCCCTCAAATATCTCATCCATCTTTCTGACTCGTTGGCTTTTATGTCTCCGTCTGCTCGGACAACAACGGACTCTTTCATGTAGGCATCTTTTCCTCAGCCTCAGGGCCTCGCCCTCTTTCTCCTTCGTTCACACAGACTAATTAAATGTTCTGACAAGAACTCATGATTGGGGAAGTCTGAACTGCTTCTCTCTCCTTTTCATAGGTTTGATGAATTTTCATGTCAACTCTATATTTGACTCAATGTCCTGAAAGCAGACTTTTATGCAATAAAATTCATGATTTTTTATTCCACTTTTTAAAAAAATCCTTTACATCATTTAATGTGCTTTTTTTTTCTTCTATCGTCAGTCCTTGTTTCCCTCAGTTCTCCTTGCCTTCAGTTAATCATCCACACTTATTTATCTGCTCATTAAGCTCACCTGTTTATCATTTGAGTAATAAATACTGTCTGTTAAAATGYTTCTTAAAGCTCCTACTATTTGTTTAGACCTTTTGCTTTGTCCCATTATAGTTGTATCCTGTATGTCAGGGCTGTATAGCTCAGCAGTCAGTGCCGCTGTCTCGTAATCCTGAGGCTGCWGGTTTRATCCCAGTTAACTCCATGGACATCTGGGGTAAAAAAAWTGGTAAATCTTTGATGTGAGGTCGCTCTCAGGTGACCCCTGAAGAAGGAAACAGCTGAAAGAACCACAACTTTCTGCTCTTTCTCTCTCCGGATGACGTTAGTTGTCATTTTTGCTGCCTTTCCTGTCTTTTAATTAATATTAAAGTTTTAATTCTCACTGAGCCACATGAGTTCTTTTAAAATTACTATAATTCACTCAGACTTGTTGTACACTTATCAGTCTGTTAATAAAACCTTCTCCAAACCAATGTTGCTCAGAGATTTAGATCTAACTGTAACACAAAAGTACTTAAACAATTTCAAACTATAGGATATTACATAATTATTTATCTGACCTGAGAGGACACACAGCTCCATCAGGCTCTGAGCTGATTCAGTTCCTCTTTTTCGTTCAGATCAAAAAACAAAACCACCAACGTGAAGAGGAGAGAATCCTGGGGAATGAAGAAAATTCAGTATCTCATTGTTTTTCCTCATCTAGTCTATAAGAACAAGGTAAACAACGAGAATCCCATTTAAACTGAGAAAAATGCATTTATTTCTTGATTGAAGAATAAAACTTGGACAGCTGATTCTGTTTTTTTTTTTCCTGAGCATCAGTGAAGAATTTCAGGGTGAACAGCAGTCAACATGAATGCATGACTAAACAGCATGCTGACACGTATGACTGAGGGCCAAAGCAGTCATAAAGCTGCAGCATGAATGCCACCATTGTTCCTGTAACCATCATCCCCATCTTCATCATCATCACCACACCATACTTCCTGCTGCACCTGAGACGCAGTCTCCTTTTTCCCTGCTGTTGTTCTCTCAAGCTCTACGTTTGTTTTTGTTTTTTTCATTAAAGAAAACCATTTTTTTAGATTCCTCTCTCTTGTTTTTGTCTTGTTGAACTCTTCCTCCATCGGGCTGAAGCTGAAACTGTGGACGCAACAACCCGCCGAACAATAGAGCATTCATGATGCCCTGCAATGCGATGATGATCCTGCTCTGCCCTCCACCTCCTGCACCAGCCTCCACAGCTGCACAAGAATGTGGTCCAACAAGTTCCACCCCCCTCCCTCCCTCCCTCCCCACCACCACCCTTCCTCCTCATCCTCTCCTCCCTGCTGCCTCCACCACCATCTCTACCACCAACTCACCAGTGCTGCTTGCAACCGAAGCCCCTCTTTTCTCCAAATGAAGAAGGGAAGAAACTATAGAGGTGTTGGTGTTGGTGGGGTGGGGGGCTTTGGAGACAGAGCACAAAGACCGGATTCATGCTCAGTCACATATACTCTAGGAGGAAAAAAAAGAATGAAAGAGGGGCACCCATTTAAGTGTGGTGCAGCTGCACTAATTCATTGGGTGAAAATGGGTAAAAAGGGAGTGACAGAGGTCAGATAGTAAGATCTTTTTTTCTTTTTACATCCATCTCAGTGGATGGTGTCCCTCCATCATCACGGCTTTAGAAAATAGTCTATGTTTCATGAATCAAGCGATAAAACCAAATTTTGACCCCTTTCTTTCGGGCAGGAGTTCAAAATTTGGCCAAACAACTGCTCATCCTTGTTTTTCTCAGCCCCAAATGTAAAACTAGAAAGATGACGTCTTCCTGAGAAATCACAGGTTTCAGAAACTAGCAGAAGAGTCACATGAGATGCTTGTTTTTTTATATTATCGACAGTCTGGCTTTCAGTACTGGAATTCCCCGAGCAGAAACTCTGACCTCTACTTTTTTTTTTTTTTTGCTCTAGCACAAACCCTGAGAGGAAATGACATTTACCAACTCCAGTATTTATCACAAAGCATGAGAAATCCTGTCGTGWTGGATTCTTTCACTGAAAAAAACAAAACAAAAAAAATAAAGGAACATTCTACTCTTTAAGCTGGATCTTCTGAGTCAATCTGGGCTAAAAAAATTCAGACCTTTCTGTTCAACTCTTCATCATTTGGAACAAATGACGGCATTCAGTTGAAGCCAAATGCTCCCACTGACATGAGAATGAATGCTTTCCGCCAATTATACATCAGTTTTATGCAAAATGTGACCCGGCATGTGAATATTTGACTGCTGTGCGTGCTTGCCTTATCTGCATCTCTCTCACGCTGTTTGCATCTGTCTGTTTGTGCTCTCCCCCCATTCTCCCCCTTCATCTCTTGCCTCWTTTTTTCTGTCCATCATCAGATTTCAGGAATTTCCCCCCTTCAGAGAGAGCACTCAGGTTAAAGGCTGTTCCCACTTCCACCTGATCATAATAAAAATAATAATAAAGCATCCCTGTGACTATGTTAACCTGTCTCTCTGGCTCAGGTGCACCTGAGGCTGACTCTGACCCCGTCCTCATGGATCTCTGACCTCCCCGGTGATCATGAGACCTTGTCGTCCCATCGTCTCCCCCAGGAGCCACAGGAAGCTCGGGCTCTTGTGACACGGCGGTCTGTGCGGCCACGGAGGGGCCCATTACTGCAGTCACATGGCAGGTTAGAGCAGTTACTGATGCGAGCATGTGAGCTCTATTTTCTAACGAGTTACAGCCGCCCCCGAGGCTCATGATACGGACCATAAAAAATGTCTGAGAACGCCGGAGTCAGACTCCCAGCAGAAAGACAGAGTTCTCCTCATTCTTGTCTTTTAATCATGGTAAATGGTCTGAACTTATATTATGCTTTATCAAGTCCATTCGAACTCCAAAGCGCTTTAATTCTTCACCCATTCATTCACACATTCACACAATGATAGCGGCATGCTACCATGTAGCTTCTGATCTGGAGCAGATTGACAGGCTTTACTTTCCAAACAGAATTATTTTAACAGCTCAGTTTATGATGTGTTTAATTATGGGAGATAAATGATTGGAGTGACAGGTGGACAAATTGATTACTTCAGATTTGTCAGATGCTGCGTTTAGGAAAAAAATGTCAAACTCTAAAAATCCAATAACGAGCTCCTGTAAAGAACAATTAAACAATATGAGCCATTAATTAAAGTCTTTTATGCTTTAGGACATTTTAGATAATAAAACAAAGGTCTGGCCTTCTGGCATTTTATATTAAACAAGTTCCTGATTTGTGCAACCCAATGCACAAAAAATATATGTATTATTTTGTTCTTTTTGTTTCTTCTG